AATGGTAAGTCATTTTCAGGGCATTTAAAAGCATCAAAAATAAAGTATCGATTTTGTCATTTCGGCAAAAGTCTAAAATATATATAATTTGTTTCAAAACAACACAATAATAGCTGATGTATCTCTCGGGTGTACTTCCCAGGACTCAACCAACCAATGAACACAACCTTTCATTATATGAATTCATTTATTTTCACTATTTTTTCTATCATTACTATTATTTCCATTTTAAATATTGAACAAAAAATATGCATAATTTTTATTAACATTTATAAAATTTTTTGTTCAAATTTTATATGTTTTAAAGGTTGAGCTTAATGCATTCAAATTAAATATTTACCATATATTTGTATTATTTGAATGACTATTCACTCAATGAGTTAATCAAAAAGTTTTAAAAATAAGTAATTGAATTAATTTTCAATTATAATATACAACAATATTCTGTATATACAGTACATATGCACTCTATATTCCTACCAAACCTATATATTCTGTTGAGTTTGCACTTATAACATAACCAGTGTTTATAACGCGACAAAAAAACTACAGATTCTTAATGTATATCAAGTGAGTTGTTTTAATCGTGTAAATACTCTCATAGGTTAGAGAGATTTGATTGGTATAAAAAATCTTTAATTAGACACGATTGTTGAATCATCAGATGATTTTTGAATTATAAGCGTTACTGTGCTTTTAGTGGTCGTGTTCTCCATTTTTATTAATAAATTGTAAATAGCTAATAGATAATTAAAAATACGAGTAAATACCCTACTCACAATAATTGATTACATAATAGAAAGAGTACCAGAATGACCCATCACATTATAAATGAAATTTACACTTATGTGTAGTTCATAAGTAGGGATAGGACTTGATGAGTCATTTAATATTCAGACTCATAAAAGTAGTGAATCAGTCAAAGGGTAACAAAAAATCCCTTATTCAATTAATGTTTCACATTTATAAAATAGTTGCGATAATCATTATTATATTTTAAAAAATTGTATATTACAGACAAAACTGCACTAAAGTTGCACTAAAGTCCTATCCATATTCATAAGTAATTTGTGATACATTCAATACATAAGACATATGTTTAAAATAGTGAAAAACATTGTTTAATATAAATAGAGAGCTCATACTCTTATAAAAAAATGAATACACTTTATGTGATAGTAAATGGATTCGTAATTTTAATCGATCACATCTTCCCGTATCTCTCGTGACATATTTGCCTAAAGCAACACATTTTGTATTTCACAGACCACTCACTCCAGTATATAATNTGGATTCGTAATTTTAATCGATCACATCTTCCCGTATCTCTCGTGACATATTTGCCTAAAGCAACACATTTTGTATTTCACAGACCACTCACTCCAGTATATAATCATATTTATATAATACAGAAATAATAATAATAATAATATTGAATGCAATTCTTATTTTATTCTTCAATTTTCAGTTAAGCGCTTAAAGAGTAGATTTTTGATAGCGTTTTGTATAATCATAACTATTATTATTATAAAATACTTGTTATTATTAGAAATAATAGGCTCTGAAAACAAGATTCAAATCGAAACAATATAATGTGTAAAATAATAAGATTTTTCAAATATTTATAAAACAAAAGCCTTAATTAACTCATAGAAAAGATAATACTGTTGTAATAATAAACATAATTTGTAAACTTAATTATACGATACAAATAACTGTATAATAAGAGCCGTTAAATGAGACAAAAAATGCAAAATTATTGATAAAATTTATAACTACTGTATTTACTAACGCTTTAGGCTTTCAAATGTAAAGTTTTATACATAATGTTTCTTTGGACTTATTTTTAATTTTCACTTCAATTCCCATATTATATAAAAGTGAAAACAAAAAATGTCAACATTTATAAAACATTTCATTAATTTTCTTAAAATTTTAGCATAAGTTCAATAAGACATTTGATTAAGACTTTGAAATAAGTCCTGTTCTTAATTAATGTCTCGGAAAAAGTATTAAATTATTAAATTTTATTGTGTTATATGTTATATTGTAATGAATTATTATCTATATATTTTATAGATGTTACCAAAACGAGTCATAACTTATATAAATTATAGATTATATATAATATATAGACTGTTTGTCTACAATAATATATAGTAGTCGTCGAGTATTAACTGCATTATGTATTAATGAAAACAGTGACACATCTGGTGGACAGTAAACTACAGACACATGTCATGTCTGGCCTTAAATTATCTTTTATTAATTACAAAATGAATTTTATAAAGAATTTGTGTTTTACTTCTCTATCAGTTTTAAAGAATTGAAGCTTTAATTGAAAAATTTTTACATAAAATTATTGGATTATATTAAAGGATAAATTATAAAAATTTGTACGAAAGGGACAAAACATGTAATAAGATATAAATTATGGTTTATAACGACATTAGACGTCAATTATATTTTCGCATATTTTCTCATTCATGCAATTTTCCAATTATCTAAAACCTATAAAATTTTATTTTCAAAAAATATCTACAAGAATTGGGAATTTATTTAATTTTTGGCAAAATTTAATTAGATATAAAACTTAATAATATATTAATAGCCTATTTTAATAAAAATAGCAGTTTATGATTACCTGAAGTAACCTTTTTGGCAGATTTCTATCGTCTTCTTCAATGATTTCAATTTCAAAAGTCGGTCGCCCGGCAGAGGACGGGTTGTCCTGAACATCGCTGATATGAAATATTGCTCGCGAATAGTTACCACTTTCTTCAGATGATATCACTCGGTATTTATGCTATCGTTATATAAATATAATTACTGTTATGTTTTATCAAATGAAACATATCATAAAACGCTAATTTCAAGTCATATTAATTAAGCAAATTTTAATTGTTTTGTATATTATATAATCTGCAACACATAATACAATAATCATTAAATAAATATTTAAATTAAGCAAAATCTCAAACACAATCCGTGAGATAAAAATAGCAATTCATTTAAATGGAGGACTTATTTGTGGGCAAAACGTTAGGAAAACAGAAATAATTGCTTACATTCTTATAGACGTTATCAATAGAAGGCAAATGATATTTCGATGACGAGTTCGTAATCGGATTACTCTTATCGCCGCTTATGTACTGTTTAGTCGTGTCCTCTCTTTCTTCCTTATCTGTTGGTATAAAATAGACACAAAATTCTTAGTCGTGTTTCAAAATCAAATACGATTAGCAAAAACGCAATGCTTTACGCAATTAATGGCATAAATTACATATAAGAGACCGGTATTTGATTCAATAACTCCGTACAGAAATGGTAATTAATATTTTAAAATGTAACTTTCATTTCCACATATAATCGGTTTAAAGAAATGTATTTCATATTAGAAATTAATTGAAAAAGTAATGCTATTTGTGTTGATGTTATATCTAGGTAAAAAATAAAGTAATGCTCAAAAATGATACCTGAACTTTAACCCATATTTTTGTAAGTAAAACACAAATAGCATTACTTTTTCAATTAATTTCTAATATGAAATACTAACAGAAATAATTGCTTACATTCTTATAGACGTTATCAATAGAAGGCAAATGATATTTCGATGACGAGTTCGTAATCGGATTACTCTTATCGCCGCTTATGTACTGTTTAGTCGTGTCCTCTCTTTCCTCTTTATCTGTTGGTATAAAATGGACACAAAATTCTTAGTCGTGTTTCAAAATCAAATACGATTAGCAAAAACGCAATGCTTTACGCAATTAATGGCATAAATTACATATAAGAGACCGGTATTTGATTTAATAACTCCGTACAGAAATGGTAATTAATATTTTAAAAAATAACTTTTATTTACACATATAATCCGTTTAAAGAAATGTATTTCGTAGTAGAAATTAATTGAAAAAATACTGCTATTTGTGTTAATGTTATATAATATAATGCAGAGTAAAAATGTAAAGTTTTATATGACGGTAAAATATGAATAAATATTGTTGCAAAACTACAATAACTCCAAATTGACTAATGTCTGCAGATTTTTATTGAAATTCAATAGAATAATACATTTGTATGAAAAGTGAATTTTAATACAAAATTTCTTTATAAATTTTCTTAAAAATTCTATTACAAAAACTTATTGAAAAATTTAAATAAAGTAATAATAAATCCGAAAAATGCAAATCTAGACACTATTTAAATAAAATTACAAATAAAAATCAGTTAGTTTTTTGGGAAAAACTTTTTTACTAAAAGCTTTCGGTAATCATAAGAATATCTCAATATTTATTTTCATTTTGAAGTAAATTTTTACAATTATAATGAATGCAAATAATATTTTAATATATCGATTGTTTAAGATTTAAATAAACAGACGTCTAATAATGTATTTGAGAATATTCTGCAAAATCAATTGTCAGACACTTTTAGCGTAAAGTATGCGATAAAATGCATTCAATATATCAATGCTTTCCAAACTTTAACACAAAGTCTTAAGTTTTAAATTGATTTTTGGCGAAAGAATTGATTTTAAAAACACTTAATAAAGATTCAAATCAACTATTATTCAGATAAGAGTTTTGATAAAACTTTTTATTTAAAACACTGTTTCGGTGTTTTATGAAAGAAAAGTAAAAATAAATGACAACTATATTACCAAAGAGTGTGAGGCAGAAAAAAGAAAGAGAATGAGAGAGAATGAAAAGAGAGGAAGAAAAATAATTTTGTGCTTTTATTGTTGAAACATAAATCGATTTCATGTTATTTGAAATGATGATTGTTAGAGAGAGAGAGAGAGAGAGAGAGAGAGAGGAGAGGAGAGGAGAGAGAGAACTAAGTTATTTAAATGTTTGTTATGTGTGCACAGAATAATACATTATTTAATTATTTAAATACACGAGATCTTTAAATAATAACAAAATTAATTTAAATTCAAATAATCACTAATTATTTATAAATTTTATGATCTCATAGTTGGTGTACAATAAGAAGTGATGGAAAACATTGATTACTACAAAATACTAGGAGTGAAGAGTAATGCGAGTCAAATGGAGATCAAGAAAGCATACAAACGACTGGCCCTTCTCTATCATCCCGATAAGAATGGGTCCAAAAATGCGAGCGATTGGTTTAAACTGATTCACGAGGCATACGAAGTGCTCGTAGAAAGACATAAAGAAAACATTGATAATCAAAACTCATGTCCGACACAAACACATCACCAAAAATCTGAACCAAAACCTCAGTCCTCTACTGATGGCCAGCGAACACATAGATCTCCGCTGAAGACGCGTCCGAATCCGCGCCCAACTGTACATAAATGTGTTGAGCATAGAGTGAATGTCTCGAACTGGGATGCGCTCCGGGGGTGCACTAAACGGCTGAAGATTACCCGAAAAGTGTGGTCTTCGCCGCAGGAATATTCACACGAATCGGTAATTCTGTCGCTTGACGTCAAACCGGACTCAAAAACTGGATCTCGTATTCTGTGCGCGGGTTGTGGTGACAGACCTTACGATTGTATCGCCGATGATATCGAGTTTATACTCGAAGTGAAGGCCGACGACCACTTCAAACGCGATGGCAATGATCTCATATTTGCCGCACAATTAACTCTTAAGCATGCGATCCAACGCCGACCCATTCCTGTCCCTCTATTGAACGGTCAGACACTGGATGTGGTATTGGATTGGCCACAGATTATAGAGTTGGACGACAATAAGGTATTGAATATAAGGAAAGTCGGTTTAGGACTTCCACACCATAAGGATAGTGACATTAGAGGAGATCTTATCATTAAATGTGTACTAAAATCATAAATATTTATATTATTTTGTATTGTAATCTCATTATTAGTGATGAAATCTTTCTAACTTTTATTATTGTAAAACAAAAATATATTTAAATTATAATATTTAATTATAAAGACATTTATATTTAAAATGAATTATATGTTTAATAAAATTACTTTTTATTCAAAAGAAGTTTGTATTTATTTAGAAATGTGTAGTGTTTATGGATTATTCCATATTTAAAGTTATATTATTGAAAACTTGAGTTAACGTTTGGAAACGTAATGTCTATATCATATTACAACAAGGTAATTAGTAATTTTGTAAATTTGAGTTTTGATTTATATAGTGATAAAGATTTCAATCACATTCAAATCGCTGGTTGTAATTATAAAGTTGTCGCTTAATTCAAAAATATGATAATCAGTTTTGAGTGAATTGAGTGAGTGATGAGTGAATTGTGTTTTATAATCAATTGATGTTTATATGATCTCATATTTAGTCTACTATAAGAAGTGATGGAAAACAATAATTATTACAATATATTAGGAGTGTTGAGGAATGCGAGTCAATTGGAGATCAAGAAAGCGTTCAGACGACTGGCCCTTCGCTATCATCCCGATAAGAATGGGTCCAAAAATGCCAGCGATTTGTTCAGACAGATTCACGAGGCATACGAAGTGCTCAGCGATGACTACAAACGGCATATGTATGAACTCTACACATATCCCACACCAACTGATCAACAAAAACCTCCACCAAAGCCTTCCGACGATCATTGGTTTTACAAACCGCCGCATAAATGCGTTGAACACACAGTGTATGTGTCGCTCCGGGATGTGTGGATGGGCTGTACTAAGCGTATGAAAGTGACCCGAAAGGTGTGGTATTCGCACCGATTTTATTATAACGAATCGATGATATTGTCCGTCGACGTGAAACGGGGCTCAAAGTCCGGCACTCGTACTAAGTTTGCCGGTTGTGGTGACCGACCGTACGGTTGTATCGCCGATGATATTGTGTTTGTTGTCAAAGATAAGTCATACGAATGGTTCCGACGCGACGGCAATGATATCGTTTGCACAATACAATTGAATTGTATTCAAGTTATATATCATAATTGGTGTCATAAATCCATTGCTGTCCCACTACTGAATGGACAGACACTATATGTAATGCTCGACAGGTATAAAGTCAATCAGCTATTAACTAATCACGCGTTAAATATAAGAAACGTCGGTTTAGGACTTCCCGACCAAAAGTATACTAACATAAGAGGAGATTTTATAATTAAATATAAACTAATACCATTAAAATGTCGCTAATTTATATAATTATTTATTTAATAATAAATAAAATTTTTGTTTAAAACAAACTTAAATTTATATAAAGTATAAACGATTTGTATTTACAATATTATAGATACAAATGATTGAAAACAAAATATTAATAATAAAGATTTTTTGAAATAATTTGTCATTAGAAAAACAAGTGTCCAAAATTTGGACTCCAAATCATCAATTTTATTCATATTTTTCTTTACACTAAAAGTTATTTTTTATTTTTGACTAAATTTTAAGCTTATAAAAGAAAACAAGTTTTACTTTGTTTTCAGTCAATAATTGACTTCTCTTTAATGCATACAACTATTAAAGTATCCATTAGTTGAAAGAAATGGAGAGAGAGAGAGAGAGAGAGAGGGAGAGATGTTATACAATAACATATGAAACGCAAAATTTAATTAATGAACGAAATGTTGCAATGATTCCCGACTTTATATATTATATATTTTC